TGCCTTTGTTCGTGGGCGCATGCCGAAACATGTAACGGGAAAAGAGTGAAGATTGCGGCAAGGGCTGGTGACGAGGGACCACTTCAATCGATGAGAGTATGGATCAGTTCTTCCAGTGCGGGCCTTCCTCACTAGGCGCGCCGATAAGATAAGGCGCATCTCTTCCCCGCAGGAAGCACGACCGCTGTAAATGGAAGCTTGCCGACCCTTAGCGCAGTCTGACTCTGTACCTAAGTACACACCGTGCTATTACCTACCTTATTCTCTATTTACTTGTATTACTTTTGTAGGGCAAGTGAGTGTAGGCTGCAGCCAATACCACTTGGATGCTGGTCTTATATCGGCTGGAACTCTTTCCCAGCGGTTGTTCTGATGTGGCCCTGGGATTTTAGAGAGTGAAGGGGTATATCTTCCCTCAACCACTGCTCATCACAGCAACTATGGACGATGAAGACTTGATGTAGGTTGCTTGGGCATTGCTAAAGTTGCCGTCTGCTACAAATGAGACAGCATGGGTATAATTCCTGACCAGCCTACCGTCGCACGACTCTCGAATCTCCCTCATCCCGTCAGGCATTCCACGGGAGCTGAAAGGACTATCTAAACCCTCTGCTAGCCCTTCCAACCAATTTCTCAACCAAATACAGCAGGTAAAATGTAAAGCGCAAAAGCCGCCTACCAGCTGGCTCAGAGCTTGGGGTACAGGGTTAATCGATACTAATGCATCGAGATTACCGTCAACTTCCACAATCGTTGGGATCCCGGCACACAAAGACTGTTCTGGCCTAGGCCGGTTTCCCGACCATAAGCACCAAGGTATCGTCGTAAAGTCCCATGGGGACTAAGCATGGACTCTGTGATCAACCGGCGGCAAAGGTCCCACGCAGTCGCTCGATTCCCACTCCCACGCCAACAAGCTCCAGTTCAGCTCACGTCTCCAGAAGAGGCCAAGACCCTCGCCTCCACCGCAGTTCTCCAGCTCGGGATGGCCATGTCCTCGATCTTCCGAGCACATGCCCCCAGTAAGTGGCATGCGTTGAGCGAAGACGACCTTGCCCATCCGCGAGTGAAGGATAGCCATCGAGCATTGGACACAAGGCTCGTGAGTTAAGTACATCTCCATACCGTGGCACAGGTAGCCGTCCGCATTGGGATGCTCGTCTTCATGGACCGTAAGCTCGTCTTCCAAGAGCGGAAGATCTTGGAAAGTGTCGTATTCCAGGATAGGCGGCACGTTGGAGCGGCCGGCTGCACGTCTCTCGTGTCGCACAAGCTTCTGCGCCACCATGCTGATAGCTCTGAGCACGCAGTGACCCATGGGGTTGCCGGTACCGCTTCTATTGGGCTCCTGGTGCCAACGAGCATCTCCGGCAACCGCTACGAGGTGGGATTTCCCCCCTTCGCGCTGGACGATGACGGCACCCATGGGTTCACCGATACCCGCCTTCTTTGCCTGGAAGGCGACGCGATGAGCCAAGGTCATCCACAGAGATGTCTCATCCTTGATGGTTTCCGTTGATCGTCCCACCATGCTAGGGTGCGGTCCAAGAGGGTTGTTCTTTCTATACACCGTAGGCCAGAACTGCGAGGTCCACATAGCTGCCTGCACCTGAGAAGTAGGCGGCACCATGGGAATGGGAATCTTGGTGAGGAAGACGCTCTCATCCATTCCTTCGATGGCTCCCAGCTTTGCGACCAAGTCGTGCTTATCGAAGTCTTTCTCTTCACCAAGCATGATGTAGATCCAGGTGGATTTACCCGTGTGGACTTGGCGGCCTTCGGGGGAGTCGTTCATGAACTGTGTTTTGAGATGAGCCGGGATATCCGCTGGCTTCGCACATCTTCGCAAGTGAGGCAAGTTGTTAGCCACGCCTTCAGGGAGCATCGAGCGGATCAGACTAGAGTGAGGTTAGTATGTAATAGAAACGTGATGACTGCTACTCACTTGACGACATTGTTAGTAGACGTAGATGGAGCCCTCGTGATCAAAGCCTGAACAATGGTGTGGTCTTGTCGGATTTCCAAAGTCGTCTTCAGAGGAATAAGCACTCCTCGGCCAAGTTGTTGTGGAAGCAGGTGGTCGATGAGAGCATGGGGCTGGATGACATCAGGGCCAGTGTGCTCGATCTTTTCCTCAGATTGATCGTCAGGCCTATCAGAGGCCATAGCCGGCAGCGAGGCGCGTTCGACAGCGAGCATCTTGACTGGTAATCTCCCTTCCAAGATTTGGGCAGAAAAAGCAGGAACTGGTGTGTTCGTCAGTATAGATGGGGGTGCGTCACGCCAAAGCCGTGACTCACTTCAACAAGAAAGTTACCGTATCTCGACTTCGGCCTCCCGAGGCACAGGACGACCGACAGAGAGGGCTACGGAGATAGCTGCCGTGTACCGCTGTGGCGTGCTGTGAGCTAAGTGTGGATTTCAACAGACGACAGGACGACTGAAGTAGCTCCACGATGATTTCCTGAGGAGTAATGTAGTGACTTGGGTGAAGAGTCCAGTCAGAAGCCTGTCATCAAAGGTTTGCTGCTGGAATCTGATGCAGCTAGTTTGGCTTTGACGTTGTTAAACAGGGTCAAGATCGGACGTAGCGGAGAGTTTGTCGAGCAGTCAAGAAAACAGAATGATGACCAGAGAAGATTTCCAGTCAAGTCCTTGTGCGACCGACGGTTGATGTAGGTGGCACACCTAGTTCCTTCTTGAGAAAGAGAGATATGGCGTTGTGTCCTCGATCTCCAGCTGTTCTACCCTCTTGCTCCGTGCTGTGACGGCTGGATAATTCTATAAGGGAACGACAGGCCAGCGCAATTACCGCAGTTGGTAAGGTCGAGATGAAAGAGGCTGCGAAGTTGCTTTTGGTCCAAAGTGAGGTGCACTCATTAGTACCTTGAAGCAGAACCCAGCGGAAGGAAGCCACGAGAAGCAACTTAATGATGGGGCCCACACTGCCTCAGGAAGCTACTTTGGAAGGCAGAGCCAGGACGAATAAAATCGTGACCCGGGACGCTGACCTGGAAGGCGCGGAAAGGAAGGCACCCGACCTGCACCTTCAGCTGCTCTTCTGCTCTTGCCTCAGATCAGATCCTGTTCACTTCCAGCCCCGAGCTGCTTTGTTTATCTCCTTCCGTCCTTTGACTCTTTTGCAGCCTTGGAGACAAACTTGATTCTCGGTCACTTCTCTAGAAAGACTGTGTGCGGTGCACAAAGCCTTCCGTCGATTCAGGAGGCAAGTTGAGGTGCAACGATATTTGCCAAGATATCTGGAAATGCGCCAGATATTATTGGAACCGCTGATTGGCGGGTCCAAATATCTCGTTCGGAGAGTCTCAGCGTTGGTATCAGTCTCAGCCTCAGCTTTCCATCTATAGATGAATTCAAGACGGATGTAACCCAAAGACTTGAAGATCAATGTTCTGCCGGGTCCTGAAACAGCAGGGTCCAGATTTGGGACCAAACAAAGAAACGAGAACAGAGGAAAGAAGCCCTATCGGATTAGATGGCGTCGTTGTTTAATGGATAGTGTAGCTGGAGGCCAAGAGGATCCGGATCTGGAAGTGGTTTGAGCTGTGGTATCGAACGGAGGGGACCGAAGTGAAGCATCAGAAAATTTGGCGATCTATTTGACAGACTGGATCCCAGTAGGCCAGGCGTTGTCAGGCACAGAGAGCCCCTAGTCGAATCGGGTTGCAGAGGCAGAGCCGCTAAGGTAGCGGGGTCTAGGGTCTTATCGATAAAGTGACAGGCTACTCACGCACCTCGGTGTAGCCAGTCCGGTCCTAGCAGTGACCACTTCGCCGACGGGACGTTTGGATTGTGCCTGCGACGTCTAAGGTATTTCCAGATTCGTGACATGGGGGTAAAGAGCGGGGCGACTGTAAGAATACCTAGCATTTGCATGGAGAATCTCTTTGGCAATCACCACCAGGGAGTTTCTCTCCCGTTCTTGTCCATAGTGTTTGGGCAACTTTCATACTTTCCCTTAGAGTTGTGCTTTCTCTGGAGAGATCAAGAGGCAAGAGAAGAGCGGGAAGGCGCGAAAGCCCAGGGAGATCACATCTGTAACCATGGGGAGGAGGGGATCGACTGAAGCAAAATACCCAGCGACTGGAGAAGGAGCTGGAGAAGACTGGAGAAGGCATGGAACGTGAGAGACAAGAGGCGACTAGGGAGAAGCACTTCCACCACTGAAACTAACCGAATACCTCTTACAGACCCATCAGGATGAACAACGCGAAGCAAGACAAAACCTCACCTTACCTCACCTCACCAAAAACACTCACCGGTCGGGCCTCACCTCTCTTAAACGATGGTTCCTTAGAGGTAAGTCCACACATTCCATACCCCCGGTTGAGCTCTTTCAACAGAGATAAGCTTCTAATTCTGTAGTTTTGGTTGGTTCTTTTCGCAGTGCACTGTCTCATAACGCCTGAGCAAGCTAAGAGCGGTAGACAAGTCGACTTTTCGGCTCTCATCCTCCGTGCCAACATGCCTCCATCATGGATCATCTCATTGGTTATCAACATTTGGTCCGTGGCAGAACGAGTCTCACAAGCCAGACTGTGTTCTATCTCAAATGTGCCGCATCTGAATTAGAAATGCAATAGCCCAACGGTAACTCGACCCCATGTGTGAAGGGCCCATCGCCTATTTCCCAATCTCCGATGACGGCACGCCCTCCTGGCCGGCCCCCGCCGGCCACGACTGCAAGTCATACCCATCGCTAAACGCTCTTGCAAGGTCGCAGTCGCAACGCGTGTCGGCCGTATCTCCTCTCCGCACTACGCTTCAAATGACGCTTTCGCCATCGCAGATCCAGCAAGCGTTCCTTGACATCTTGGCGAGAATGCCTCTGCGACGGAGCAGTTGGTCCCTTGATTGTCGTCGAGGTGGCCATGACAGTGGGCTTCTAGAAAGCGAACGGCAAACCCTGCCGCGAACCCCTCACGATGCATGCGGGGTCAGCAGCAGAAGCGGAATAGACTACCAGAGACTAATAACGCCTAAACTTCGACACCTGGTGGAGACCACAGAGTGGCGGCGCGGCGGCAATAGCAGAAACGAGGAGTGCGAATGAGGGCCGCGCCGCCGGCGTCTGGAGCACCTGGAATTGCCAACCCTCCCCTACACACTAGAGATTTGGGAGCTGAGAAGTCACAAATGTCTTTGCTGCAGCCCGCATCCTGCAGTGTAACAGGAGAACCTTCTGCAAAAGAGTCTTGGAGTGGGGGTACCACGCCAAATTCCCCCTTCGTCATCCATGCCCAGTCCCTGTTTCTGGCGTGAAGCATGAAAGCAACCTCGCAACTGGACTGTTGAAGATGATTGGCCGCTGCGGTTGAGTTACCAGTGGTCATTGGCATGGCGGGATGACTGGGCGTTGGGTGGAAGCCTCACTCGCCCCGAGAACGATGACATGGCGCCCTCAGACTTTGGTGGGACATACGGATCACTATCCCGCCATTCTGCAGGTTGTTTTGTGTATGTACAAAATCGGGCTCACCATGGGCTTTTCCGTTTCACAGGGGCAAGATCTCAATGTGCTGGAAGGGCATTTGGGTGACATCATCGCCCAGACCTGAGTCAAAATGAGCATCATGAGCCATCTTTCTTTGCAGAAATGTCTAGGAGGATCGGCTGGTGTTTGGCAGTGACAGAATGCTTGCTGTCAAGACTCAAATGCAGCCCTGGCATCCCCACAACATGTCGAACAACTAGTAGGGGTTCCGTGAGGGGTTCACAGGTTCGCCAGGAGCGCAGCGGATCCTTGGTGGGAGCGGATCTCCGGGGGCGTGGAGGTTCCTTTTCCAGCCTCCGGACTTCGGGGTGATTCCGACAGAAGGTCAGCCCAAGCGCTAGGTGAGTTGTTGCAACGCCAACAGAATATGTAATGACCTTCACCGGCACGCGACCCTGGAGATGGTGTGTGTCAAATCATGCTGTGCACCCTTCTCGGAGACGCCTTGTTGAGCGCCGCCGGAGACTTGTTGCAGCACATCGGAGGGATACCTGTTGCTACACCCACTACTGGATAGTACGTACTCATTCAGCAAGAAATAATCGAGAGAGGTAACCTCGAAAAGGGGCTATCAAAGCTAGGTACGTGGCCACCTAGAAATGGAACAAGGCGATCAACCGCAAGGATAAGCTTTGGGCAAGTGTCGAAGGCGTGTTGGCGAGGGCTGATGTGAGTGGTCTATTCCGGTTGGCTTGGCTGAGAGCTGGAATGCTTGAGAAAGATGGGATGGTTGTAGAATAGCTCTGGTGCCGGCACAAGTTGATTCAGGAGGGGACTTGGCGGCCGATTACTATGGACATCTGAGTCGTGAAACATTTGGGTGGGAAGGGAAGTGGAAAGGGCAGAACGGATCGACGGGGTATCTCCGACAAGCCCGGTGAGCGAAGCGCAGCAAAGCAAAGCCAGGCCAGGCAGGCCACACCTCGTACAGCACTCAAGCGCTGAGCGAGCGGAACGGTGAGAAGCAGGAAAGAACTGACGTGGGACTTGGCCGTCCGAGTTACATTGTCCGTATTACGGGCACTTTTTCTTCTCCTCGACTTTCCATGTCTGCAGGAATAACATCACCCACGGAGTTAAGGTGAGGTATGCTCACGGGCAACACGGTACACGCACACAGACCGGGCGGACTAGACGAGCATGGAGGATGGAGCACGGCGACACGGAGGGCAGGACCCAGGCATACGGGGAGACGCAAAGGATGGGGCCGGCCGTCATGACGGTGTTTGGGGATTTAATTTTGGACGACGGGACGGAGGGTTTGTGTTTGTTGAGGTTCTTTTTTGCTGTACTGTAACGGGCTGTGCTGGTGCACGGAAACGTATGTGGCTCTCTCTCAACCCGCTGTGCTGGACAAATCCCCAATCCATGGTCCATGGCCAGACGGCGATTGTCAGGACTCCTGTCCAGGTCCAGGCCCAGGTTGAGCTTGAGCCTAAGCCTGAGCTTGAACTTGTACGAATAGTAGCTTTGGATAGGCATGAATGGCTTTAAACTTGGCGGACGGAAGATTGACGTGGGACATGGACATGGGACAAGACCGAGGGCGTGGGCGGATGGGCTTCTGGCATTGGACCAAGACACCAATAGGTAGCGTACCCGGGGAGCCAGCTCCCGAGTCCAGAGTAAGGTGAGGTAAAACAGGCCGTGGACACGTACGTCCAGTAATAGAAAGGCAGAAATAATGAGCTCTGTTTGTTGGCGTTGCAATGTTGACAACGTAAGCTCTGGCAGACGACCTTTCACCTAGAAACTCGAACCGTTTACCTCAGGCCAGAAATAGGTATAGGGGGTTCTGGAAATGATGCCCAGCCTTTTTTCTTCCTCAGGTTTATCTATTAACACCCAGGTCTCGAGTCGCCCGGGGCCTTTGAGCTCGGCCGTATTGTATTTTCCCCATCAGAAAACCAACAGCAGAAATCATGCGTTGGATGGATAAGTATCCGTAAAGGGACCGACATATTGCCCAGGACAATTTGGGTTACTAAGAATCCTCGATGGAGACGTAGAAGGAAAGAAGGAAAAAAACACGTGAAATGACCTCAGGAAAGGTGGGAAATGGAATGCTGTCATCTCGTTCGTGAGCCCTGCCAAACGGACGGGAAGGTGCGATGGCCTAGGATAGGGCGCGCGCGGCTGCCTTGAACCGTCATGTCACCTCACCTTTAGAAAGAGTGAGTCCACTTTGGAAATCAGTTCTTTCCCGTTCGCTTCTCAAGTTCTCAACCACTCTTGCTCTTTCGCACGTCCCGTTCGCTCGGGCACAGACGCAGGGCCATACGGCACGTCCACGTCGCCCGGTTTGGGCCTCCCCCCGTTTTCCGTCTCGTTGCGTGTACCAAACCGTTGGGCTGGCAGATAGGTATCGAGATCGAGAGACAGAGACAGAACACAACGTACCAGACATGGAAGAAAGAGAGGGCACGTCAAGCGCTTAGACTGCTCCGTTTGAAAGATGCGACCCGCCGCCGGGTGCGAATGGATGGCTGGAAGGTATGGATACGCGCCGCCGCCCTCTCTCTTTCCCCAAACCCCGAAATCAAATCTCCAACTCCCCTTGTAGAATGGAAGGACGAAAAAAAAAAATACATACCCTCCCCCAAATATTAGAGAGAAGAAGAAAAAAAAGCACCATCCCGCGCCGCCACGGGTCTAGCATCCCAGGGCTCCGGTGCCAGGAGAGGCTCGACAGGGTCGCAGACGGGGGTACCTTGCCAAAGCGAAATGCACCCTGGATCGCTGGAAAGGGCACATCGGCGACCGGTCACCGAGCATGCAGCACCGACCCAATTAGAGGCTCCACCGAAGGGAACCGCTCCAGAAGCAGAACATAGCTGCAGGGCAAGCCCCGAATTTCGAACGTGGTGGTACTGCTGGCTGGTGTGTGTTGGAGTCATTGGGGGCAGCGGAATGCGACAGGAGAGGAATGGGACAATTGCGAGTGGTTCCTGCACACAACGGTTCTATTGCGGTGATTCTGTCAATCTTCGAGTACCTGCGTATCTGTAAGGTAAGGTAAGGTAAGGTAGATACGGACTCCAAGGTAAGGTGCGACTAGACACCTAGTCTGTACCTGCCCAGCATTGGTTTCCCGTTTACAGATTGTAGAGTACAAACACAGCCAAGGATGTACTATTGTATCGCGCCAAGAAGATTCTTTCTAACCTTGGATATCGAGTCTCTTCTCACACGCCTCACGCCTCACTCTCTCCAAACAGAAGAAGGTACTCCATCTTCAGACACACCTTGTCTTCAACAAGGCCAGCCATGCAGAGGAGGAGTATCCGTACCTTACTCCGTACCATACCTTGGTAGAACATGCAATGGAAAAAGGCAGGGCAGGGCAGGGCTCTCTGCAAAATAAGGCAGTGAGGAGCCTGAGGAGTCCTCGGACGGGCCTTCTCCTTGCTCACCCTCACCCTGTCCCGTCCCTCGTCCCCGTTCATCGAACCCTCGCACTCACTCACAGGCTCACCCTCACTCATACAGCCCAGATCCATTCTCACCTCACCCCATCCATCCCATACCGTCCCATCCTGAGGTGTCTTGCTCTGTACTGCCCATCACTCATCCAGGGCCACCATCCCATTACCCATCGCCCATTGCCTCGACCGTACCACTAAAGTAGATATATCGGTCCTTCCTCCATCGACGGGCTCCATCGCTCTGACCATCCCCTCTTCTTTCTATCCTCTTTAACCTGACAGACCCATCCATCCCGAATACATTAGAATCTTCTTTCTTTTCTGTTCTTGTTGTCCCACAGCCTTTTTTCTTATTGATACCTCTTTATCTATCCAGCCAGTTGCTTTGTGTGTCTTCTTCTGCTTGCACCGCAACTCCCACCATCCATCACTGCGATACAATTTCACAAAGTATTTGGCATCTCATCCATCGTAGTCTATCTGTACGATCAACCTACAGGTAGTGAACTACAGTGCTCTGTCTCTGTATAGAGTAGATATCTCCTCGTCCTCGTCCTCCTCCGCACCAGAACAAGACCGCATTGCACTTACACGCGCTGTGTTCCTTGTCTTGTTCCCCTCTCAACACTTTTTTCTCTCATTCCGCCCAGACCACACCTGCTGCGAACCCGGCAAGACCCCTGCACGCTAAGGCAAGAGCTAGCCATCTTGGACGCCACATTTCATCACCCACCCTGGGACAGCTCGACCAGCTTCCCCATCCTAGCGCAGCGATTGGGTACAGGGCCTTCTAACTGACCCCGAAGAGAGAATTCTCACGGCAGGAGCAGCCCAGGAAGCCCAGGAAGCAGGTGCACCTAGCTAAAGCAACAAAGCGGCGACTGCTCTAAACGGCAGGCCCAGCCAACCACAGCTACCATACCCAGGCGCACACCCTGTGTGACTCCTTCCTTTCACAAAGGGTCGTCGGCGTAGTGTTTTTTTTCCCACGCCTGCCGCCTGCCTCGCATATTCGCATCCATGCCTTCCGCAATCTTTCCTGATCACCACCCAGGTCCGTACAAACCACACCTCTCCAGTCCACCACCCAAGCTATTCTTTTTTTTTCCCTCCCCTTCTACCTCTGCACGTCCAAATCTCAACTCTTCACCACTTTATTCTTGTCTACCGCCGTCACTATCGACATATTCATTCTTGAACAAGCTTTTGAGTACTAACATACCCTTTTCCACACAAAAAGACCTTGGTCTTATACAGGCCAAGCAATCTGCTCTGGCGAAGTTGGCCATGAGCTCCAACAAGGATTCACGCGCCCCTTCGTCATCGCCTCCCTTCCACTCCAATAAATCGACCGCCGCTGCGAACTCGAAATCGAACTACCTCACTGAGCCCCAGGCACTGCCCGTTTCTCACCCTCACGATGGCCTTCTCCCGCCTCCTGCTATGGCGCACGCTATTCGATCTATGAACGACTTGAGTGGACCGATCGCCCTCCGCGATCGCTCCTTGGTCGCAAACTCCGATACCCCTCCTGCGATGCGAAGCGTGGTTTCGACCGCTCCGAATTCCCCTAGAATGTATGTATAGGACCCCAAAAAATATTTTCAGATTGGTACCACCCCGAGGGAATACTCCTTCCCTCCGGGTGGCTGAGCA